GCCTGTCTGCACTGGGCCACTGCACCCTGGTGGCCACCCTGACACCCCATGCAGCCGCCACGCCCAATGCCAACCCCACACTGCACCTGCCCCACCCGATGCCAACCCCACCCTGCACCCAGCCCGATGCCAACCCCACACTGCGGGGGGGGGGGTCAGAGAGCAGAGAGGCTGCAATGGGGGGGGTTCCCAGCCCAGGGAAGGGTCCGGTGTGAGGCCCGGGGGGAGGGTGGCAGCTCCTTACCTCCCACCGCCGCATCGCACCTCTGCCGCTGGAGCTCCAGGTCGGCCAGTTCGCTGAGCAGGGTGATCCCTGAGCTGCACGGGCAGGGCAAGGGGGAAGCCGCTGGGGGGGCCGCGCTGGGCGGGCTCAGGGCAGGGAGGTCTCCCAGGTCGATGCCCGCGATGATCAGTGCGTCCAGCCCGCTCAGGGGGCCCTGGAGGCCGCTGCCCGCCCGTAGGAGGCTCAGGGAGTCGCTTTCCTGCTCCTCTTCGCAGCCGGCCTCCCGCCCCGCCGCCTGCCCCTCTCCGGCTGCACCCTCTGAGGCCTTCGGGGGGGAGCCTGCCGGTGCCCCTGTGAGCTGCGCTGCCCCCGGCTGCTCCTCCAGGCCCCCGCTCTCCTCTGGAGGTCCCTGAGCCGAGGCCAAGCCGGGCCCCCCCAGCATTGGGCCGTAGGGCGTCTGTCCCAGCTCCTCCGCCGGGCCCCGCCCCGTCGCTGCCCCCACCAGCTCCCCGGAGGCCTGCCCCGGGGGGAGGAGGAGGTAGTGGAGATGCTGGCCCATGGCAGCCTGGGCCTTGGGCTCGGCCATGGCACCCTGCACTGCCCGCCCGGCCTCCTCCAGCACGGCCGCGGCGCTGGCCCGGCACGGCTCCTCCGTGGGAGGGAACGTCCGGGACTGCTCGGGCTCGGCCGCCGGGGAGACGCTTTGCATAGTGTCGGGGTCGGCCGGCTCGGCGGCGTGCACGGCCAGCGGCGAGGAGTAGCCCATGCTGACGGCGGGGTAGCTGTATCCAGGCGGCAGGTCTGTGGAGCAAGGCAGCGCAGTCAGGGAGGGCAGGGGAGGGAACCACGTGCCCCACAGCGCCAGGGGCCAGCCCCAACCCCAACCCCTGACGCTCTCCAGGAGGGGGCTCTGTCTCCCGCCACCCTACTCAGCGTCTGGGGGTCTCCCTCCCTTGAGGCCCTCGCTTAGATGTTCCCCCCGCCCTCTCCCATGAGCCTCGTGGGCCTGCCAGCTGGTCAGAGGCGCCTGGGGTCTGCCCGCCTGGGGATCCCCAGCCCCGAGCCAGCAGGGGCCCAGGGGACATGTCTAACTGGCCCACGCATTTGCCAGGTCTGTGCCTCCCCAGCTGGGACAAGGGAGGTGCGTGGGATGACTCGATAGGCCCCTCAGATCCCAGGTAGCCCCCCAGGCGGGCCAGGCCCCCCGCGCCCAGCCCACTTCCCGCCGGAGCTCCCAGGCCCCCCCACCAATGCTCCGGTTCGGCAGGCAGGCCTTAGCCGGTGCTGGGGAAGGGGAGCTGGCTCAGCACAGGCACCGTGCCCCATTAACCCTGCTGGCAGGCATCCCCGTGGCAACCCTGGGACCAGATGCTACGTCCAACACACGGTTCCAATGTAAACGCTGGCGGCGATGCCAGCGGAGTTAAATGCCCTTGTCTGAGGGCTGGCAGGGCCAGCGGGCAGCTTGGCTGGCACAGGGAGGGAGCTCGGGCAGCGGGATGCACATACAGCCCCACAAGCGCCTGATGGATTCCTGGGGCCGGTTCCCCAGCGGGTGCCAATCGGCTCCAGCCCCTCTGCCTGCCCTGGCACTGGGTCACCCCATGGCAGGCCGCACGGGACGGGGAGGCTCTGGCCTCACTGACACCCCACATGCCCCCTTCGGCTTCTCTCTCACAAACAGGGCTGACTACCAACCCCTCCCCCCCACAATCCCAGCATGGAGAACCAGGGCCACCCGGGCACCTCATCCTGCCCCCGGTGGCCCTGAGCTCCCCCCACCCCACTGGCCTCATCACCACGGTGCCGAGCCGCTGTCCTGACAAAGCTGGATCCTTCTGCCCAGGGCTGGGGCAGGCCCTCAGCATGGCCTCCCCCCGCCCCACAGCCAGAGAGCCCAGCTCCCCACCCCACAGGACTGCCCTGAGACACACGAATGGGGGGCTGGCCCCACTGTCTGTCTCAGGGCTCAGGCCCCGGCACTCCTATGGCTCCCATCTAGCCCAGCCCCGGTGCGAACCCCACCTGGCTCCAGCGACTTGGGGTAGCCCCGGGGCGGCTGCCCCTCCACCCGCTTGTCTTCCGCTTCGTTGCTCTTGGAGCTGGGCGAGGGGCTGGGGCTGGCGGGCGGGGAGCGCGGGGCAACGGCCGAGCTGGGCGCCGGGCAGACGGGTAAAGTGCAGGGGGCGGCAGGATGCGCCGAGGGGCATTTCGATGGGTGCCGCAGGGCGGGCGAGTGGCAGCAGGGTGAGAGCTTGGCAGGGCAGGGGGCCGGCGAGGAGAGGCCCTTGGTGGGGGGCGTTAAGGCAACTGGTTTATGGGACGGCTTGAGGGGCTTCTCGGGGCCTGGCTCCTCCAGCTCGGCAGGCTGCTCCTCCACCTTCCGCTGTGGGGCCAGGACATAGACAGGTCAGCCCCACGGCCCAGCCCTGGACAGGTCACCCCACCGCCCAGCCCCACGCCCCAGACAGGTCAGCCCCATGGCCCAGCCCCGGATAGGTCACCCCCACAGCCCAGCCCACGCCCCAGATAGGTCAGCCCCAGGGCCCAGTCCCACGTCCCAGATAGGTTAGCCCCAGGGCCCAGCCCCACGCCCCAGACAGGTCAGCCCCAGGGCCCAGCCCTATGCCCCAGACAGGTCAGCCCCAGGGCCCAGCCCCACGCCCCAGACAGGTTAGCCCCAGGGCCCAGCCCCACGCCCCAGACAGGTCAGCCCCAGGGCCCAGCCCCATGCCCCAGACAAACTGGCCTCACGCCCTAGCCTGACACCCACCCCGGAGAGACCAGATGGCCCCAGCCCAGTTTGCCCAGTGCCGGCTCCCCAGGCGTGAGGCTGCCAGGGGCTAGGAGGGGCAGTGTACCTGCACCACCCTCCTCTGAACCCTCCCTCACCCTTCCTCCCGGCTCCCTGCCCCCGACCTGGATCTGCGACTGTCTCTGCAGCTCCAGCGCCTGGGCCGCCCGCTGCTGCTGCTGCAGGGCGTAGAGCTCCTGCTGCCGGAGGAATTGCGAGCGTGAGTAGACAGGGAGCTGGCCCGCGTGCTGCAGGTGGGAGCTGGGGCCCCGGCCCGGGTACATGGGCGGCCAAAGCGAGGCCTGGTCCATAACATCAGCTGCCGAGAGAGAGCAGGGGGTCAGCTCAGCAGCCGCAGCCCCTCGCCCTGGGCCAGCCAGAGCCCGTGGGGAAGGGGCCACCCGGCGCAGCCCTGCCATGCCCCCCTCCCTGACAAGCCCTTTGCCGAGGGAATCCGGGCGAGAGGGACAAACCCAGCCAGGGAGCCAGGCGCTGGGCCCACCCTCCGCAGGGGGCAGCATCTCCCCTGGCAACTGCCCTTACCCAGCGTGTGCGGGGCGCCGTGGGCTGACGGCTCCGTGGGCAGGATGACGAGCTGCGCTGGGGGATCCTGGGGAAGGGGGAACACGGACTGCATGGTGCTGGGCATGGACGCTGGGAAGCCGGGCGGCAGGTTCTGATGCAAGGCCGGGTGGCTGATGCCTGTGGAGGGAACAAACACAGAAGGGTCACGGGGGCTGGCGTAGCCAGAGGCATCTTCCCAGTGCCCCGCTCTAGCGGGCTGGCACCGTGGCCAGACCCAGGGACTTGTCAGTGACAGAGTTGGGCTGGGCAGTGAGCCCACGGGCCACACGCCAGGCTCCGTGCGGCAGCTGGGACGCCCAGACCACGGCTGCTGGGAGCGGAGTCAGAGCAGGAGCCGGAGGAGTCTGTAACCCCAGCGAGCCCTGGCGCCAATCCACAGTGCCTGCGTACGGGAGGCCAGGGCGGGTGCAGTCGGGGATGGAGGGGCACCACCAGAGGTGCGTGGCTGGCAGCATGCCCAGCCCGTGATGCCCAGGCCCAATCCTGTTCATCGATTCACCCAAAGACCTGGAGCGAAGCCCAGCAGCCCCGTCTCCCCAGCAGCGGCCAGCCGGCCACGCCCTGCACTGACCGTACGAGTGCCCCCCCATCCAGATGGAGGGGCTGCGCGTCCGGGGCAGCCAGTGCGTGTGGGCCGGGTGCGCGTGGGCTGCGGGGTCCCCTCCCAACTGGCCGGCCTGGAGGGAGGAGCCGCCTGCGATCATGAGGTGGGGGGTGAGGTCGCCCGGGCAGCCGCTGGATGGGTGGATCCTGGCAAAGTCCACGAGGTCCTTGTTCTCCCTGCAAAGCGAAGGGGAGACGCAGAACAGGGTGAGACCGTGCCCATTGCTCCCCACAGCTGCCCCCATCGCTGGGAACAGAGACAAGGTGCCCGGTGACAACGCGGGCACCTGGCTGCCCCCAGCCATGGTTCCAGGCATACACCACGGCAGTCACTTGTCCAGCCGGCTCTGGGCTCCCTCTGCCTCGTCCAGCCAGCCCGAGGCACCTGCCCAGGGCCAGCTGCCAGGTGAGTCCCACGCTGGGCCCTGAGCCAGGGGCATGCGCTGGGCTTCATGCACATCCCAGGGGCAAAGTGCTTCCCAGGGAGCATCCGCCCCACCCCCCTCTACAGGTGGGAAATGGGGGGGCCGACAGACGCCCACCCAAGGCCACACCATGGCAGAGCTGGGAGCAGAACCCAGGTGTCCTGGTGCCCTGCACCCCTGGCATGCGCTGCCCGGCCCTGGAGCTGCAGGATCTGGGAGTGACAGGGTTTGCGTCCAGCTCCGAGATTGCTGCCTCCTCCTCTTGTTCCTCGCAGCTGTGACCGGGCCCAATCCTGGGGGCCCCAGCAAGAGCTGCCGGCGCTCTGCACCATTCAGAATTGGGCCCAAGGTTTGTAGAATGATGCTAGAGACTTTAGTGCAGCCTGGCCCACCTCCGGCACCCACCCAGCCCATTACTGGCCCCGCTCCAGCCAGGACCCGGAGGCCTTGGGGGCCACCCACGGCCCGTTTAAGACCCAGGGCAGAGAAATACCGGGGACGTGGGATCCGGGCAGCCCCGGAGGGGGTGGGGGAGGCCAGCCAGCCTGACTCTCCTGCCGGCGTGTGCCAGGGTGTGCTGGCTCCTTACTGGAGAAGAAGTTCTCGGCCCGTGATCCCCAGCCGCTCCTCGCACAGGCGGCTCCGCTCCTCCTCCGCCTCCAGGTCGATGACGTGCATGGGTCGTGCTGAGCCGGCTACAGGACGCCCCGCGGGAGGGAGATGAGAGAGAGAGAGAGAGAGACGTGAGGGACAGGATCCCGCACCCCCCACTCAGGGGTGCAGGCCGGGCATCTGCCTCTCACCCTGGGCTCCCACGTTCATCCCGTGGGTCTCAGCCTGCCCCTGCCTGTGCCCATCTCACCCCCCAGCTGGGGCTGACGTGTGCTCTCCACAGGGCTGGGAAACTGAGAGTGGAGCCAAAGGATGGGACCGAGGGGCACCGGCAGGGCTGTGGGGGGCAGGGCTGGGCTAGCAGGGGCTATGGGTCAGGACCGAGGGGCACCGGGAGGGCTGTGGGGGGCAGGGCTGGGCTAGCAGGGGCTATGGGTCGGGACCGAGGGGCACCGGCAGGGCTGTGGGGGGCAGGGTTGGGCTAGCAGGGGCACTGACTGGCAGAGCTGTGATGGGGAAGGCTCAGGATGGAATAGCGGGGAGAGGGGTCATTTCAGCTGAGGGTCACACTGGGCTTCAGGGGAGGGAAGCATACAAAGAGGGGCTGATGGGTGGGGCCCAGGGGACGGTGCAGCATGCGGGGGGCAGCAGGCGTGAGTGTGGGGTTCCCTGGGGCCGGCCGTGCCCCTCTCCAGTGGGGCTCCGGGCAGAGGCACTGGGGCCGTGAACTCTGGGCAATGCCGGCTGGCCATAAGAACCGGACACTTGTGGTTTCTGGGAAGCGCCCGCCCCCCACCAGCCCTGCGGACACCACCCCCGTTGCTGCTTCTCCCGGGCCTGGGGCTGCCCACCCCAGAGACAGCCTCCCGCCCGGGGCGGCGCGTGGCCGGCCTGGCCCCGTTACCTTTCAGGCCCATGGTCACCCTGTTCTGCCGGCTGGAGTTGGTGCCGTACGAGGGCTCCGGCCGGCTCAGTGTGTCCTTCTGTCGCGCCACCGCCACAGCGATGCCCACGGGCGGCTGCCGCACCTCGCCCTCCCCGTGGGCCAGCTCATGGTCTCTACTACGGGCGCAGTCCGGCCGCTCCAGCTCCTGCTGCCCCTTCCCTGCTTGGAATTTCCCGTCCTGCTGAGCGCAGCTGCCCTTGACGGTGCCCAGCCCCACGAAGGGGGCCTTCTGGCCCACGGTAAGTGCTTGGTTGCTGTATTTCAGCAGGTTCTTCATGGCCGACACCTCGTCGGGGGGGTTCTGCATGTCCTGGCTCAGCACCGAGCCCTGAGTCATCAGCGCAGCCTGCTGCAAACTGGTGCTGAAGGGGTCGAGATAGGAGCTCTTCCTCTCCTCGCCCATGGACATGGGCGCGCCTTGCCCCTGCACGCCCCAGGGGGGCAGAGGGGCTCCATTGTAGCCCATCGCCTTCCGCCTGGCCTCGGAGCCGCTCCCCGCCAGCTCCAGCTCCGGGGGGACGTGCTGCTGGTGCCGTATCCGCGCCACCTTCTGCACGCTCTGGCCCTGGCACTCCTTGGAGCTCTTGTCTAAAGTGCAGCAGGACTGGCTGAGTTTGACGCACAGGGCGTCCTGGTGGCTGGCGCGGGAGCAGTCCTGAGACGGCGCCATCTCGAAGTAGCTGCCTTTCTCCAGGCCGCCCTTGGGCGCCTGGGGCAGGCTGGGGAAGGGGGCCTCGGAGCCGGCGCTGTTCAGGTACTCCAGGCCTTTCAGCCGGGCGTTGGAGCTCTGCGCCCACTCCAGCCTCCGCTCCGCCTTGCCCTCCGCCTTGAGATGGTGGAAGGAGTTCCCGTAGGCGCCCGTGTGCTCCGAGCCCATCTCGTGCCTTTCCTTGGCCTCGCCACGCTCCAGGCTGCAGGCCTCGGCCGCCACCTGGAAAGACCTGCTCTTGTCGGTCAAGTGTCCCACCGACGGCACGAACGTGGCCCCGCTGAGCTTCAGCTCCCGCCCGGCTTTGTCCTGCAAGGGGCACAGCCCGTCGGGGCTGGAGTGGAGCTGCAGGCAGGGGAAGGTGGCGGCCGAGGTGCTGAGCGGGGGCGGGATGGCGGGCAGGCTGGACGGGACGGTGTAGGAGACCGAGTGGTGCAGCATCTGGCGCCGCTCCAGGCACTCGCTGTAGGGCTGGGGTGACTCGTGGGGAGCCAGCTCCCGCTCCGACCTCAGCATGTCCTTGGGGCAGCGGCTCTGGGCCATGCCGGCGTGGCGGGGCAGGGCGCCGCCCGTGCAGCTGGGCAGCACGGCCTTGTGGGCGTCGCCATTGAGCATTTTGGAGTTCAGCAGGCAGGAGTTGAGGTGCTTGGCCCGGTTCTCGCACGAGCTCCTCTGGTGGACCCCCTCCTTACAGTGCCCCTCGGGCATCATGGGCAGCACCAGCTTGTGCCTCTCCTTCACGTCCTCCTCCCCCAGCCTCTCCTTGGCCTCCCCCTTGCCCGCCTTCTCCTTGGCCAGGAGGTAGCGGTCGTATTCCTTGTGGCTCTTCTGCCCGTGGCTGGCCTCGCGGTCACGGCTGCAGGACCCGATGGGGTGGCCGGGGGCTGCTCGGGCAATGGTGGGGAAGTTGTGGTTAGCTGACAGCAGGGTGGGCTGGGCCGGCAGGTTCCGCAGGTAGAAGTTATCTGGGGGGCAAACGCAGCCGGTGAACGCGGGGCCTTCTGCAGCGATGGGCGCCCGCCTCCCCGCGGGGCCTGGGACACGGCCCCGGCTTGGCTGGACGCTGGCTCCCTCCCCAGAGCTCGCCCACCACCAGGCCCTACTGACCCTGCTCTGCGCAGCAGCCCCCGGCGTTGCCCACAGGAGGCACCCGACGTCTCAGCGCCATAACAGTCACCTCAGCAACGCTAGAGCCCACCCCG